TGGCAAGGCCCCCAGGGGCCGCTGTCGGCGCGCGTGCTGCTCTGGCGACGCGAGGGCGCGCTTAGCTTTAGCCTGGGTTTCCGCGGCGGCGCACAGCCAGGTCGCGCCGCACGCCTGGAGAGCGCGGCCCGCCCCCTCGGCCGCTCCCCAAGCCGTCGGGCAGGCGCGCTGGAAAGCCTCCGGGCTGGAGAGTCCGAGCTCGCTGCAGACGCCCGCCAGGCACGCCTGCCAAGCCCCCACGCCTCCCCCTTCGCCTCCTCCTCCCCCTCCTCTTCCTCCTCCTCCTCCCTCTCATCCTCCTCCTCCCTCCCCCTCCTCCTCCTCCTCCCTCGTCCTCCTCCTCCTCCTCCTCCTCCCTCCTCTCCTCCTCCTCCTCCTCCTCCTCCTCCTCCTCCTCCCTCCTCCTCCTCCTCCTCCCCTCCTCCTCCTCCTCCTCCTCCTCCTCCTCCTCCCCCCCCCCCTCCTCCCCCCGCCCTGCTCCCCCCCCTTTTTCTCCTTTTTCTCCCCCTCCTCTTTCTCGCCCTCCTCCTCTTCGTCCTTCCCTTGCCGTGGTTCTCGAGGTGGTCGGGGACGCACGGGGCAGCCTTTAAGGGCCCCTTTCTGGGGTCCGATGAGCACCCCGAGCACGAAAGCCACAGAGTCAGGGCCGGGGCGGCAAAGGCTCAATTCGGCCTGCTCATGCATGATGGGCGCCAGCCAGGCCCCAGGTGCTCCCACAAGTTGGTTTGCGGAAGAGGCACCAATCAAGCCCAGGGCAGCTCAACCCACCCGCCCCCGCCTCCCTGGCTCTCCCCGAAGGTATGCTTTCCGCGTAGGTATGGGCAGCCTACGGTCTCCAGCTACGGACCTCTGCGACCTCAGACGGGACCGGGTGATTCCATTTCATCAACGTGCCCAGGGCAGTTCAACTCACCCGCCCCTGCGCCCTTGCGCTCCCCGTAGGTATGGGCAGCCCACGGTCTCTAGCTACGGACCACTGCGCATTGCAAGTGCATCATGTAGCCGAGGCCGGTTGATTCAGCTGGATCAACAAGCCCAGGGCAGTCCGACCCACCCGCACCCCGTCCGTAGGGCAGGGGCTGTGAACCCCGTCCACCCCTGATACGACCCGTTCGGCTAGGGAGCGATCCCCGCCCTCTGTCACCACGAAGGTGACGATCCCTGCCGTGGCGTAGGTCCCTCACGTCACCCTTCATAGGTGGCGATTCGTCCTGCGACGGAGCAGATCACCACCACAACCTCCACGGTTGGTGGTAATTTGGGGTGCAATGTTGCAGACTTTCCCGCCTAGTTACTAGTCGGCGATCCGTCCTGCGGAGGAGCAGGCCTCATCCCCTGTCCTCCCGAAGGAGGCGATCATTGCCGGGGCACAGACCCCTCAGGTGGCGAGGGTTTGCGTCCCTCCACTTGTTACCCGTACGGGTGCCGAAGCAGCACCACGGACATCGCGTTTTCCCCTCCAAATCTCTTCTCCTTCCCCGCCCCACCCACCCCATGTAGGAGTATGGGAAGTGGAGGATGCTCAGACGCCGCCACGCCGAGAGCACGGGTTCAAGACACTGCTGGATGGCGAATGTGGCGGCCGCCGCAAAAGACCTCGCGGGTAAGTGGATATGCCGGCGCGCCGTGATATGTAACCGTCGGCTCTAAGGGTCAGCGTCGGGCTCTCGACCTCGTCTCCTAAGAGCGAGGAGCCCTCCAACCTTTCCCTCGCCCCCATCGGTCTTCCCCCTCCTCCTCACATCCAACCCCTCCCTCGCTCCCATCGGTCCTCCTCCTCCTCCTCACATCCTCCTTCTCCCTCCCCCCCCCTTCTCCTCCTCCCACTGGAACTCTGCCAGAACTGTGGGCTAAGGCTGTGCTTCGCACACCCAACTAGCCTGCGGTCCGTTGTTTCGGCTTGCCCGTCTCGACAAACACGGCAGAAGATCTTGTAGCAAGCCGCGCGTCGGTGGCAAGATCAAGGGAATTATGCTAGGACTGCGGGCTAAGGCTATGCCTCGCATGCCCAACTAGCTCGGGGTCCGTTGTTTCGGCCGGCTTGACGCAACAGCCACGGCAGGATGGTTGGCATCCGCCGCGCCGCACCGGTTTAGGCTATGGCCTTCAGCACTGGAACTCTTGCCAGGACAGTGGGTTAAGGTTGTGATTCGCACACCCACCTAGCCTGCGAATCGTTGTTTCGGCCTGTCCGACTCAACAATCACTGCTGGAGTTGTGGTAGCAAGCCGCACGTCGGTAGGCAAGAGCTAGGGAATTATTTCAGGACTGCGGGCTCAGGCTATGCCTCGCATGCCCAACTAGCTCGCGGTCCGTTGTTTCGGCCAGCCGCCCGACGCAACAGCCACGGCAGGATGATTGGCATCCGCCGCGCCGCACCTGTTTAGGCGAGGACTTACCGCACTGGAACTCTGCCAGGACTGTGGGTTAAGGCTGCGCTTCGCACACCCAGCTAGCCTGCGGTCCGTTGTTTCGGACTGTCCGACTCAACAATCACGGCTGGAGTTCTGGTAACAAGGCGCGCGTCGGTGGCAAGATCTAGGGAATTCTGCTGGGACTGCGGGCTAAGGCTACGCTTCGCATGCCCAACTAGCTCGCGGTCCGTTGTTTCGGCCGGCCCGTCTCAACAACCACGGCAGGATTACTGGCATCCGCCGCGTCGCACCTGTTTCGGCTAGGGCCTTCAGCACTGGAACTCTTGCCAGGACTGTGGTTTAAGGTTGTGCTTCGCACACCCACCTAGCCTGCGGTCCGTTGCCCCCCCCTCCCGGGGACGTCCAGACCGTTACGCTCAGTCGTCCCCTCTCCTCCTTCTTCTCGTCCTCCCACTGCCCGTCCCAACCAGAGCCCCTAATACATTCAATCCCGCTCCTTCTTCCGCCCCCCCGCCCTTAGGGATGGATGCAACGCGCTTGCGCAGCCTGGTCTTGTATACCCAGCTGCGCGTTCTTGCATCTAGCTGTTTATACTCAGTTGTGCGGTCCTCATGGCCTCCTCCGCGCGAGTCCTGGCATCCAGTCAACTCGGCGGCATTAGGCTGCATGTGCGGAGGCCTCCCGGGGGGAAGCAGTCCCAAGGGGATCCCTTGTAGCCGGACCCGCTGACCCACATCATCATCCTCATCGCTCCTGCGCCTGCTCAAGACCAGGCTTCCCAATCTCCCTCCCTTGGCTGGAAAATTGTGCATTTTCTTGCCTAACAGTTAGATTGCCAATCGCGGCATTACTTCATAGCGTCCGGATCGTCATCGCTCCTCGTGCTTCGCCGTCGCTTGGCGTCACGGCGACTGGAAGGAAGCAGCGGGAAGGGGCCAGCAAATAATGCGATGCCCTGCTATGGGTAGCCCTAGGGGAGGTGAGTCTTCGGGCCTAGCTAGAAGGTCGGGGCGAACAAATCCTGACCCCCCAGGCGCATAATAGTTTCGGCCGCGTTCGCCGGACAGCCTTCGGCGCAGGGAGTGGCGTTGCCACCACCCCATGGACCACTGAGCTGCCTCACCGAATCCGTGACACGCTGGCGCACCGAGTCCGTGAAACGAACGGTGTCTTCGAATCTGACCGACAGAATTTGGTTTTACTTTGTTAACGTCCATACCGTTGCTCTCGGTCATCCTCTCTCCCTTTCCCTCCTTTCCCCTGCTCGTCCCAACTTGAGTCCCTATTGTACTCGACTCAGTTCCGCTCCCGCTTCTGTATCCCCTCTCCTCGGGATGGATACATCGCGCTTGCGCCACCTGGACAGAAATAGAGAGAGAGAGAGTGTGAGAGAGAGAGGGAGATGGCAATGCAACCCGCCAGAGCCGGGCGATAATTGTCACAGGTGACTCCCCCCACATGCTCTTCCATTTCGCCGGACACAGTGCTCTTGATTTGGGGCTGCTAGCCAGAGCGGGCTCTCGTTAGCAACCCCCTGGAACAGGCTGCGAGTTGGGGCTTCCCGAAGCAATGGGTGTCCCCCATTGGCAGTTTCTCATTGCGCCCAGCGCCCTGGCGGGACTGTTCAATGGCGGCCCGCTCGCTGACCCGGCAGTTTGGTCAGTGATCCTCCTCTTCTTCCTCCTCGTTTCCTCATACTGCTGCTGCTGCTGCTGCTGCTCCTCCTCCTCCTCCTCCTCCTCTCCTCCTCCTCCTCCTCCTCCTCCTCCTCCTCCCCTCTCCTGGGGGACCAGCGAAGGCTGCAGGAAAAGGTCCCTTTAGGGCCCAAAAGAGAGCCGTAATGGCCCGAGAACTGCAGATTCCCCCTCGTCCCCATTCATCGCCCCTCAGTCAGCGTCGCCCAAGACAAACTGTTGGCCCCACTTTTCTAAGAGTCGATGCCGCCCAAACGCAATCGGAGAGACCCTGGCCATGCCAGGAAGCAGCAACCCAATGGCATAATGTCATGACCACAGTACCAGCTGCGTGTTCTTAGCATTGCCACGGCCTGCCTGATTGCATCCCCCCTTTGGGAATTATATATGCGATCAGGGCCGCGTGTGCCATATAGGGGGAGGACGGAGTCAGCGCATCTAGATGGGAATCTGGTTTGAATCCCTCTATGCAGCGGACACCGATGTATCCTGAACCCTGAAGACTTCGGGGTCCATGCGAGGATCCGACGCGTCTGTATCGAATTCAATTCGCTTGCGTGCGTGTCCAGGGCGCTCGCCAGGCAACGCGTCAATGCTTGCAAAGTTTGCACTTGTGTTTCAGGATTCGCTGGCTGGGGCGCCAACTGTCTGCCACGACATGCTGTGGGGAATGAGACGGTGGGCCGACCTGGAGCCCAGCATGGCGTTCATGATTCACATGTCTGGTGAGGCCTTCAGGTTGTTGCGTTGGCAACCATGTGCTGCATGGGCAGTTGCACTGTTAGGCTCGTTGCTGCCGAACGCAGTGTTGCCAACGAGTCCAGCGACACCATACAAGACGATGGGATCCTGGATGACTCTTAGCCAGTGCACACCTCAGCCTGTGCACGCTTCATCCAATCTCACCCAACTCCGCGCGAACGAAAGCGAGCCGCCAGGACCTCGCGACGTCGTTGGACAGGAAGAGCATTGGCATAAAGACGTTGCTTGTCGTCGCCGAGATGGCCGTGCAGAGACAGAATCCTGTCACGAAGGAGCGGGGGCCATGGATTTTAGTCCGCGGCGGCCTCGCGGGGTTGCGGTGCGCTGCAAGTGGCTTGGGGGAGAGGGGGGGGGGCATAGTTGCTTGTGTCGCACGTCGATCCCCTGTTTCTGATACCCTTTGTTCTGCGGTCCATGCTGCATCTGGGCAAGGCCTGCCAGCAGGCCACGGTGGACGGCCCGCAACCGGCGCGGCACTTGGCGAGTGCGTGCGCCCTGACGTGGTGTTTGACGCAGCACTTCTGTGGGGTCGTGCCGCGCCTCGGGAGCATTGACCAGGTCACACAGTCCTCCACCTGCTCGTTCTCACATGCGGCCTGTCGCCGGCGTGGGTTTTCATCACCGTTTTTCGTTTTGATGTCCCTCGCTCTCTCTCTATCCCTCTCTCTCTCTGTGTCTCTCTCCCTCTCTCTGTCTCTGTCTCTCTCTCGCTCTCCCTGCCTATCTCTATTGTACCACTCCCTCCATCCACCCATCCACCCCCCAGTCTTACTGCACACCAGGATCGCACAGGTTCTCGTGTGATTTGGTCTTTCTCCTTCTCTCTGTGTCGACCCCCCACCCCCCTTACTCTCTGCGCAGGCCTCCGTAAGAGCTCTGAAGGGATACCGAACTCGGTTCTGGCTTGGCCTTTCCTTCCAGAAATTTCCAGGGGGGGGGTCGAGACATTCCAGCCAGCATACACACACGACCAGCCAACGACGCGACAACCATCGGGACTGCCGCCCCCATCCATCGAACACGATGGATGATATATCAATATTCCGATGTCATCGTACATAACTACACCTCAACCCATTATCTATCTAATTGTCCTCATTATCTACAGATTTCGATCTATCGACCTCATTATCTAATTGTCGGTCAACCGTACCATCCAGCATCGATGTCATTTTCTATCTTCCGATTCACGAAATCTCGAACACTCTCACTACCTTTTGATGGTACACTATATATATATATATATCTCTCTCTCTCTCTCTCTCCTCTCTCTCATCCCCCCTTCTCGCTATACACATATTTATATTTCTGCGTTGTCATCTGCCTGCCGATCTCACGATCCACAACTCTAACATTGGAACAACCATCGGGATGCTCAGCGGGACAACCGTCGGGACATTCATCGGGGCAACCGTCGGGACAACCACCTGGGCCCCCTTACCTTTCTATCGATTTATCGATCTGACTGTATGCCACACGGTCCACCCATCGATCCCACTAAGTACGTGTCGAACGTCAGCATTGTCAAGTGCCCATTCGATACTTGTCGATATCACTATATATATATATATATATATATATATATGTGTGTGGCTGCCTGCGGCACGTCCCGCCACCGTGACAGCCCATCATTCCGAGTTGCGATTGTTCGAGTTGGTACGGGAGGCCGTCACGTGTAACCCCCCCGTGTCTTATGATTCTGTTGATTGGTGGTGATGATTACGTTGATGATGTCGCTTCTGATGGTGATGACCCTGCTTATGCTGGTGATGGTGATGTTGTTGATGATGATGCGGAATATGATGATGCTGATGATGCTGATGACGATGACGATGATGATGACGATGATGATGATGATGATGATGATGATGATGATGATGTCGATGATGGTAATGATGATGCTCCTGATGATGATGATGATGATGATGCTGATGATGCTCATGATGATGCTGATGATGCTGATGATGATGCTGATGATAATGATGGTGGCGATGGTGGTGGTGGTGCTGCTGCTGATGGTTATGATGGTGGTGATGATGCTGATGATGGTGCTGACGAGACTCGTTTGGACAGTTTTAAAGCTGTCTTGGCTTCCTCTGAGGCAGTATGGGGGTCCCCTTGGGGCCGCCTTGCGGCCCTCTTACGCCAGCTTGCGGTTCTCTTGGGCCGTCTTGGGTCCCTCTTGGCCGTATTGTGGGTGTTTTGGGACCGTCGTGGGGCTGTCTCGGCGCCGCCTTAGGCCGTCGAAAGGGCCTTCTAAGTCCGTCTTGGGTCCCACGGGCGACCCTCTTGGGCCGTCTTGGGGCCGTCTTGGATGCCCCTTGGGCCATCGCGTGGAGTCCTCGTGGGCCGTCTTGAGCTGACGGCAGCCCGCAAAGGCGAGAACGCGAAATTCATCCACAAACCGATTGGAAATCGATGTCTGAACCTTATTCGAAGTCCTCTTCTGGCCCTATTGGGGCCCTCTTGGAGGCATCTCGGGCCGTTTCAAGAAATACTCGGCCGCCTTTGGGCAATCTTGGGCTGTCTTCGAGGCATCTTGGGGCATCTTTGTGTCCTTGATTGCCTGCACGGGCCGTCTCGGAAGCTCGGGACGCAGATCCATTTTTTCTACAAAGAATCGTGGTTTTGGAGGCCAGGACCATCATTCCACTATGCCTGATTTCCGT